CCCCAACATCCACCGCAGGTCCACAACTCGTTTCGATCTCATGACTCGAACCCAGCCCTCGAACGGCCCCAAGACGGGTGAAACCAGCGCGAGACAATCGGCTAGCTACACCTGCTGAGGCACGACAGGTGACGTTTGAAGCCATCTACCCTCCTCTCCCCAACTCCCAGGTGGAGCCAGGCCAAGCGGGCAATGCCGTTGCGGTCTGTTGGCCCAACGTCGCATCCCAGACGGGGCAAAGGCGAGAGGGGAAGGGCCGAACGATGCAGGCCGCCTCCTAGCGCCAGAAGAGTTCATGCGGGCGAGGTTTATTACGCAGATGGCTTGCATGAACGAAGGGCGGCTGGGCGGTTCTTTTGCGTCATTGGACCTGCGCACGCAGCTGGTTCTCTCTCTTCCCGAGCCGCGGGCAGAAGGGACCAGCCACCCGAAATGGAGCAGCTCCTCGAGGTGTGATGATACTACATACCTGGGCATGGGATTGGGCAATGTAACCAAGTTCTTGTTCTGCGTCTGTTGTTGCCCGAGTTGGGAAAGATGTTTGGGTTGTTTATTATTGAGCACCGGTGCAGTAGCATGTATTCACACCCGACATCAATCTTCAACGGCTTCTCTACCGATTTGCTCTGCTGGCGGGACCGAGTAACCGATATCGCTGTTCATCTTGGCACTGTGTTAGTGTTTGACCAATAGCGTAGGGTATTCCAGGCAAATAGATGATCGCAAATTAGTCTCGGGGTTGAAGTGAAAATCCGTTCATGGAAATTCGGCGCGAATAGCTCGATACCTCTCCTCTTGCCTGCTTTGACCATCGCCTGTCATGCGCCACATTTCGTGGTCTTAAATATTGCATGTATGTATGTTGATATACATACAGCTTAACTTCAACACTCTTGTTCATGACTTTATTGAGGGGAAACCTAGATAACCACACAGGAAGGGAGATCAAGGATGAACACAGCGAATGGTTGATGTTCTTAATGAAGAAGACCAACTCGTCTGAATGGTATGCTACACAGTCGCGGGAACGAACCCAAGTCTTCGTACAAAAATGCCATCTTCCAACAGCCGCATCTACTGAATCAAGACTTGCTCAGATTGACTTTCCGTTGCTTGTTAGTACAGGGAAAGCCAAATTTATGCCTATTGGAGTTGTGGAACAACGGCAGCCTTGTCCAACCGAGTCTTATTGAATTTGAAACCTAGAAAGAACAACACCTTGTAGCTCACGGAGATCCAGCAAAGTATCAACCAGCGCCATAGACATTCTATATATTTGCCCCATATTTACCTAGCCAAAAGCCCGCATGAATCAAACAGACAACAAAAGTACGCCTTTTTGTTTTTCAGAAACACAGAACTAACACTCAACCCTCTAGGTTGCCTAGTGATGATGATGGCCACCGAGCTGGGCCAGGAGAGGCAGTAGCATGCCTCCAACCGTGGCGAGAGTGTCTATCATCTGCGGCCCCTTTGGTTGACGCGGGCTACCGCTCTCAGAGTAGCCGTTCTGTGTCGTGTTGCAGTCGTGAGAACCATCATCGTTCATGGCGTGCATTGCAACATATCTATAACCAAAGCGAAGAAGAGATTAGCGGGTTGAAAGCTTTATCAACTCTCGTGGGGCACTGAAACTTACAAGAAGGTGCCTCCTGAGAACAGGAGCAGCATACCAGTCCACCACTTTCCAGCATCGCCATCCATATTGCCACCGCCAAGAATGTTTATAAGTAACCATGTCGTCAATGCGCCAACGGGAGCAGCCAAGCTGAAGACCATCAGATGAGCCCTGGCAGCACGTTTCGACAGACCCTGCTTCAAGAGCACTGAAGTCAATCCAAACGACGCGGGAGCCTTGTGAATCATGATGGCGAAGAAGACGATGAACCCGAGCTGCGTGTCCGAGGCGGTGGAAGAGGCTCCCATCGCGATACCGTCGGCTGCGGCGTGAATGACAAGTCCGAGGGTCGTAGCTAAGCTTCGCGAGCCCTTGCCGGTGGACGAGAATGCGCCCAAGAAGCTGTCGTTCTCATCCAGTCTTGGAGATGGCTCCCCATTGAGGTTGTCCAAGCTGACATGACGAGGCTGTGGAGGTTGCTGGAAACGCTCGCTCGCGTGCTTCGGGATCCTCTCAATCAGGAACATCAAGGCAAAACCCAAAACAAGCGAGAGACCTATCTCAAAAGCAGGGACTTCCACGTGCCCCTCTGCATGATCATGACTGGGCTCCTTTTCACCTGAACCGTGATCATGCTCATCCCTGGTTTGGACAGTCCTAGGCACAATGATTTCAGGAGGTGTAATTCCAACCTCGACCTCGTTCACATTCTCACGGGTACCAACATTTGGAAGACCACCATAATAATGGATGCGGGGCCCAAGTTCCGAACCCAAGTCGTAACTGGGTATGACAGCCCGCACATTGTGAGTCTGGGCCACTTTGGACTTTGCCGCGGCGGCGGCAGTAGCGGCTTCAATGCCCTCAGGTATGATGATAATGAGGGACGTGCCGACTAGGACACCAACACCGATGCTTGCAATGAATCGCATCTGAGACTGTGAGAGCGTCATAGATAGGGGCAGAGAGCCGGCCAGGAAAGAGCTTGAGGATCCATTAGTTAGTTTTCTACTTTCACGTTTGTAAGAGATTTATCTGTCAGCGGGAGACCTACGCCACAGCCATGACAGCCTATCGAGGTGAATTAGCATCGTGTTTGGTATGATAGATGAGTGAAGGCACCGCCTGGGTGTAGAATAGACTTACACATAGTGCCAGTAATAAGATAAGCCCGGACATGTTGATGACTGGAGTGATAGACAGTAGCTCACTGCCTATCCGGGAATTGGGTTGAGAGAGCCTATCTACACCCCATTGGCTTCAGAGATAGGTCGCAAGAACAGGTCAAGAGAGCGTCAGGTTCCTTCGGCGAGAAACAAGGACGAAAAGGCGGATAGGCGCGTGGACCTTGCTGGATCGCAAAGCAAATCGAAGCCAGGTTTTTGAGAGGATCCCCACCCTTGCTTGACGTCTTGGCGGGAGAAGAAGTTGCTCTGGTTGTCGTCTGCGGCTCAGGCCTGGCCCGGGAGGTCAGTGCTGCGGTGCGTGATCTGTGCCGCTCTGCAATGACGAGGTGAGTGAGAAATACGTGAATTGACGAGGGCCGTCTCCTGAAGCTCCTGAATGCCGCCCGCCGCTGTAGCTTGGTGAGAGCTGACAGGGTGGCCACTAGTGGTTAATTAGTGGCTGTAGACATTAATAGTCGAGCTTGAGACACGCCCAGACAAGCGCTGCGTCAGTTCCGTGGCGGGGCTGCCAAAAAAGAAAAGAGTGGGACCATCCATCTGCGAATCTCTAAACTCATCAAGAATACTGCAACTCTGATTGGACTCATATCACTCAAAGAGCCGACTGCAACTGCCTGACGGACAGCATCGAGCCTGCACAGGCAGCCTCTGTCATAACAAAGGTTTATGTTACCACCGCAAACTCGCTCTTTGGGTATGTCGCGCGTGTAGATAACTTTGACATGGCGCTCCCAAGATGAACGATTCCGCAAAATCGCCAACACGGCGTCACATTCTCTCTTCCATCAACCCAGACGGGGACGACGATCGCCCCAAGAAGAGCTCTCGACGTCGGCGCTCCCGCTCACGCTCGCCCAAACCGTACCGCGACCACAAGGAGAGCAAAGAGGAACAAGACGGGGATCCCAACGCACCCAGGCGCTCCCGCCTACGACTGAAAGACCACAAGTCATCCCGGCGGCGACGCTCACGCTCTCGCGACAGCCGGCGCCGCCACCACCATGAACCCTCATCATCCTCCTCCCATCGCCGCCACCGTCGACACCGCGATCGCCCACGGTCCCCCACCCCTCCCAACCCCTTCGAGCCCGAACCCCTCGACCGCGAGGCCGCCTTCCGCGAATCCCTATTCGACGCCATGGCGGACGACGAGGGCGCCCTCTACTGGGAGGGCGTCTACGGGCAGCCCGTCCACGTCTACTCCAACGAGCGCGTGGGGCCCCAGGGCGAGCTGGAGCGCATGTCGGACGAGGAGTACGCGGCGTACGTGAGGCAGAAGATGTGGGAGAAGACCCACGCGGGGCTGATGGAGGAGCGCGCCCGGCGCGAGGAGGCGCGCAGGAACAAGGAGAAGGAGGAGGCGCACCAGCGGAGACTAAAGGAGCAGATGGACGAGAGCCTACGGCGGGGAGAGGAGCGCAGGCAGCGCAAGGAGTGGGTGAGGCGATGGGAAGAGTACAACGAGGCGTGGGCGAGGTGGGATGAGAGCCCAACTGCGTCTTCTCTACCCTGGCCATCTAAAAGTGGCGATCGGAGCAATCTAGACGAGAAGACGGTCAAGGGTTTCTTTATTAACTGCCTGAAACACGAGGAGATGGGAGAGAAAGGCTTCTTGACCAAGCTGAAAGAAGAGCGAGTCCGCTGGCATCCTGACAAGATTCAGCAGAAGCTGGGAGGGCAGGTGGCCGAGGATACGATGAGGGAGGTGACGGCCATTTTCCAGATTATCGATCGTCTTTGGTCGGACATGCGGGATGGCAAGTGAGCTTGAATGGGCTTCAATATAAGCTAGCACGTTTTTTTTTATGCTTCTCTATATACCCAATGTTTTGTTAGAATACGCTTAGGTTTCTTTGATAACAGGATCGGCATATGATTTTCAGGTTCACGACACTGATGGCAACATCATTTCAGGCACGCGAATAAATGGCGTTATTGGTTCATTTCATTGATTGGCTGTACGTATACATAATTCTCATGTCATAACCGATGCTCATGCTCTCCATGCCGTCAGAAAAAACAAAGTCCCAAATGCGGAAATAAACAGGAGCGCATCTTCCTTGTGTAAGTGCCTGTATCCTCCAGAACGAATAAAATGCACAATATTAGTCAACGGGGTATTATGTGTGACTTCTCCCCAAGTTTTTCGCCTTCGCCCAATAGATCTGATCCTCTTCCACTTGCATGAAAGGCATCTACAGGTTGAAGAAGACGGCAGCACCACCGACCATGCCGAGCACGGCGAGGGTGACGGTGGGGAGGGTGGCGCCGCTGTCGTTGTTGCTGCTGCCGGTGGCGCTGGCGGAGGCGCCGGTGGAGGAGCCCTTGAGCTCGTCGACCGCGTTGCTGGCACGGCTCTTGAAGTCCTCGACGGCGCTGGAGAGCTCGCCAGCCTCGGAGGTGGCCTTGGCCTTGGCATCGCCGGTGGCAGTGGCGATGACGGAGCTCAGGGAGGACTGGCGGGAGGCGGCGTCGGCAGTGACGGAGGCGACGACGTCGCTGATCACGCTCTGGGCGTTGTCCGCGTTGGCGGAGGCGGCGGTCTTGATCTCGTTGACGACGGAGGAGAGGCCGTCACCGGCGCCGTTCCAGATGCTCTTGATGTCGTCACCGAGGTTGTCGAAGAAGTCGCCAATGTCAGGGTTGGGCTGGGCCTCGGCCTTTACGAAGCATGTTAGTGCTGTGACTAATTGGGGAGCTTTCAGTGATCAATCAACATACCTTGACCTGGGAGACGGCAGCGAGGCCGGAAAGGAGGACAGTGGAGAACTTCATGTTGGTGAGTTTGGTTGTTGAAGCGGTTTGTTGTCTAGGTGTGCTAGGGTGGATAGACTTGAGAAGACCAGATAGCAAGCGATTGGGAGAGGATGAGGATGAACAGCATGATTCAAGGGGGGAGGAGCACGGCTTAATTATACTTGGGCAGGCACGAAGGCGAGCTCCCACTTCCCTGAAGCAATCGGGACGTGCTTGGCTTGCATCAGACCCGCGAGGTACTTCAGCCAAGCCAAGCCAAGGTACCAGGTGCTACATTGATGCTTGGCAAATACACAGGGGGGGCTGCTGTCGTCGTCGCTTGAGGCTGGGGTTGGCCCAATGCATGGCTGTGCATCACCAAATCTCATCTCAGCCCCATACCCGTACCCATACCCATTTGCACAATTCCCACAGCTAGGCATGCGAAACTGCCCAGTCCGGACTAGGTCCTACGTAGCACGTTGCACCTTGATGCTGATCAGAGAGCATCTCTCTCGCTGCGAAATTGCCCTGCAGGGCGAAGGTAAGCTCGCCCTTCGCATCTTGCTTCCCTTTTTCTGACTGACGCGGGACATTGCAGGCGAAACCGCCAAGGCATCGCTAGCCATGTAGGGGCCAGATGTAAGACAGAGTCAGTTAATTAATCAATGTGTTTGCAGTCCATACTACCTAACCAGCACACGAGATGCAGTGAGCGTCGAGTTGGAGCCCATCACGAATCATGTCACCCACGCCCACACACTCAACAAGGAGGGACTTCGGGTTCGGGTCATCCTGGACCCAAGTTCCAAATCTCGCACGGCAAATCATCAATCATGAGCCACAGTGCCCATGCCCGAGCAGGATAACTCCACAAAGAATATGGGGACTTGCAGGTACTCGCTGCCTCCGATTTGCACCAGAACTATGACATCGTGTCCCAGCCGGGGCTAGTTGACCGACCATGACATCGGCCTAACCCGCCAAAACCCCCAAAACAAAAATACCCTTTTCCAACGGCTCGCTCTCGGCAGCACCTCGTTGCTTCTCCTGTCTCGGCATCGACGTCTGCATTATGTCACAAACGCCCGACGCTGGCATTTCAAAGCGGTCAGATGCACACAGATCCTACACAGCGAAGAATGCGGTCTGCTCATCAAACACGGGCTCCATCCCTCCCTCACACGACATATAAGCTCATCAGCCAAGCATTAAAAGGACCAAGGTCTTGGGCTGGCGGGTGGGGCTGGAACAGGGGGCACAAAGGCAAAACGCCAGAGACAAAATGAAGCAAGACTCTCAAGGAGTGCTTCCCTGTCTCATTGCGTCGTTGGGGCCGCCACTGGGACTCTTTCGGTCTGGGGGCCGCCTCGGGATAATCCCAATCCTGCCAGCACGCTTCCTAGTGCTCAACTGTTAGATTCCGCCTCATGGCACACATGACCCGGGTACTGTACGCTGTGTTGAAGCTTAAAATAGGAATAATAGTCCGGGGATTTCAAAGCCTTGCTGTGGCTTGGGCTAAAAAATCCACCGATTCACAGTGGCTAACACTAGTGCAGTAGCGGTATCTCGTGTCTCTCAGCATTGAATGAATGCTGGCTCAGCCTGGCTGGGGCCGGCCTGAGCGCGGGTGTTCTGGCAGGATCATTTGGCTCGTGGCACAGACAGACAGCATACGTATGCTTCCTTGCCAGCCCTTCTGTGTCAGCTTGGTCAGCCAAGCACCAGATTGCCACAGCGATCTCTGGATTTCAGAATCCTCGCGCGGACCGACGTGCCTGCCGGCTGCATATATCACTCGCCAAGATTCATGCTCCCCTGCTGTGCAATCCATGATGCAAATGATGCAAATGATGATGATGATGCTCTGCACACCTGACTGTTTGGGGTATCACCAATTTCCCCCCAGGCTGCGTGCGGCAGGCTGCTGAAACACCCTACTCCGGACAGACATCCCCAAATGAGGAAAAGATTATGTCACGTCGCAAAAGACGGGCGATCCATAGTCTGTTCCAACGACCTTTTGCGACCTTTTGCCACCGATGCCCGTAGATGATTGGTATGTGCCCGGTTCACGCAGATTGCCATCTTCCTCCGCTGTTGATCTGTATACACATGGTTCCTCAGCTGGGATCTCGACGCTAGGCAATAAGCATTCTTTAGGGCCCCTCCGTTGGGCTGTTGTGTGGGAGGCGTTTGTGCGCCCCAATGCATACGTAGGCAGGTTACACAATGCGGCACAACTCCGAGACATCTGCCACACACCAGCATGATACAGTGCCTATCTAGTAACTTGTACCTCGGATTCTGAATCAATAGCATGACTGTTAACAGTCGAGCTTAAGAAGGTTTGGAAGGGGGCATACTCTGATACGGGAATTTATGATGCGTTCTGGAAAGAAGGATTGAGTATCTGCTCGGCCGAGACCTACAAAGGAACCCAGCGACTGCAGAAACACCCTGGATATACCGCGAACAGGCAGCCAATCCTCGTTAAGATGATACAAGCTGAGACCGGATCTAAAAAATTCCATGCGTGTCACGTGCTTTCACATGTCCGTTTGAGTTGCGATACCGGCACCTGCTCCAGCACTAGAGACTGTTGAGATGATAATGTTGTATGCCCTAGATGATGAAATCACCAATTCGCAGACTCATTATCGTGGAAAGAAATGCCTCGCTTGGAAAAAAAATATGGGAAGAGCCGCAAAAGACAATCACACGGATACTGAAGCACCTCAAGTATTATGAACTAGGTAGGTAGTCTCGCAAAACGATGAGTACGGCGACTGTCCTCACTACCGTTTCATGTAGTAGAGCGTTGGGACTTTCACATCTTTATGTTCTGCGGTCTACATCACGTCGACTACAAATTTCTCGAGGCGCATCTAGACGGCAACAAAGAGCTGCCTGTCAAGATAGGCCGCATATCCTCGCGCGGTACCGTCAAAGCAGAAGAGACGCCATAGATTGTGTTGGTGCCGAGCTTAGGTGTGCTGCTGAGTTACACGGCAGGGGCCAGCACCCGCCTTACATGATCGATCATGCGGATGGGGCATCCCCCATCAACTGGAACCCAATATCGGTAGTTCCCATGAAGTAAATTTCGTAAGAAATATCGCAGCTATTCTCTTCCAGCGCCAAGCGAATCGTTCTTGCATCAGGAGCCGGGAGACTATCCAACCCCCCCCCCCCATACACGGTGTGAAGTCAAGTCCGAGTAACTAACTGTATATGTTGGCCATTGACTTCCTGCTGTCATATTAATCGAGGCGAATATCGCGACAATATTTCCGAGCCCATACACGTTGTCTACGGTAATTAAAAATTATTGGGTTATTAGGTAGACACACCTACGTAGGTGGTTTACTCATCTAATTTGCATAGAGTTGTTTAGGCCATTATATCTCACCAGGAACTGTAACAATTAGCGCCAAGCCTTCTGTACCAGAGATTAGTATGTTCACATCTATATATAAGCTACGCAAGGTCCTTGAAGCCAAATAGGTGCTGGGGACCATGATCTTCTCTATTGATGAATGTTCTCGACTTGAAAGATGCTGAGCTTTCCTTAGAATCCACTAGTAAAAGTCGCTGTACCATCCCCAACTAACGGCAACTTGGGTAGCCTTCCCGTAGTATTCGGCATGTTTCCGCCCAGGTGGGGAAGCCATAATGATTTCCCCAGAAAGTGGTGGAAGATGTTGGTTGCGAGGCTGCAAGATGTCGTTACATTTGTTTTGTAGAGGAGCATCCGGCAGAGATCCGAATTTGAAGATTAGCTATTTGCAGTAGCCCTCCCATGATCCCATAAGACTGGATAAGTAATTACGTACCGTCATGCGACTCATCAGACGAGTTTGTCGTCCTGCAGCTCACAAGACGAGTATACGAGCCATGCGTTCATCCTGCCGTTTGTGAAGCGAGTCTGCATATTTCGCCCCGTCTCCCAGCAAAACAGGCTCTTCTTTTAGTGAAAATGCACATTTTCCCAGCCAGCATGTGTATACAGACCCCGTCCGGGTGAGACGATGGGCTTACAGCATCCTCATCCCGCACGAGTCAGCCAATTATCCCCTCCGTCCCCACCTTCCGGGGAACACCGACCGATAACACCTTCGCCGCGGGGCCCAGCTCCCGAATCTTCTATCCGCGTCCATCATATGATTCACAACGACCAAGAGCAGACGACGCCGTGATGGTACAAGATATTGGCAGCGGCAGCGGCAGCGACCCTGCCCCCGCGTCCTCCGAGCCCAAGCCCGCCACCAACGGCACCCTCCCTTCTTCGAAGCCGCACGACGCCCCCGCGCATCCGCTTTCCGAGGTCTCGCGCCAGCTCAACGACAAGATCAATGCCTTTCTCGCCGAGGATACAAAGGACCCCATGCTCCAGAGGGTCCAGGCCCAGGTCCGCGTGGCCATTGAGGTAGTGGAAGAGGCCTACCGGAGATTCAGGTAAACGTGTTCCCGCACACTGGAAGACGAAAGCCCCGGACAACCCGATCTGACCAAGACCGTGAACTAGACCCGAGCAAATCTCCCTCTCCTACAACGGCGGCAAGGACTGCCTCGTGCTCACAATCATCGTCCTCGCCTGCCTGTCACGACGCTCCGCCGAGACGGCCTACCCCGCCACCTTCCCCGCCGTCTACGTCGTGTCGCAGCACCCGTTCCAGGAGGTCGACGACTTTGTCGCCTCCACGAGCGCCGAGTACCACCTGCAGGTCTCGAGCTACCACGCGCCGATGCGAGAAGCCCTGACCATCTACCAGGCCGAGAACCCCAAAATAGAGGCCATCTTCGTAGGCACCGTACGTTTTAACCCCGGAATGACTCGACACCCGCCGCATTCCGGCTTCGGCCCCCCAAACCCAAACCCAAACCTAGACGACTTGGAGAGAGAGACAGCTTGGCTGACAAAATTTGGATCTTTTGAATAGAGACGGACGGACCCATTCGCGGAGAAGTTGCAGCATTTCGATCCGACAGACGCAGGCTGGCCTTCGTTTATGCGGGTACACCCTGTGATTGACTGGCATCTCGGTATGTTTGGCTGGCGGGTGGGGGAAGTGGGATGAGCACTGCTTCCCTCCGACCTGGAACTCTTATCTCACGGTTCTCATCTTCAAATGCTAACTCTTCTTTTTTCTCTATTCAAAAGTCGAGATCTGGACAGTAAGTCACCAGATAGCCCCGGGGTTGGCGAACCGTCAACTAACAACCTCCGCAGTTTATTAGACACCTCAACATCCCATACTGTGAATTATACGACCAAGTAAGCCCATCGATTTCTACACATGGAGAGAACACAGCTCCCAGGTTTCTCAAGGATATCTCGCTAACTTTATTCAAGGGATACACCTCACTAGGCGGTAGACTGAATACACATCCAAACCCTCTGTTAAAGAAGGAGGGAGAAGCAGGTTTCCGGGTACGTCCCCCTCAATCTCACCAGATCACTAAACCTGCTCCCCTTCGAACCATGTCAAACTCTATCCATCCACATTGTCTTCCCTCTCATCCGTCTACATGTACCTTTCACGAATCACATCCCCCTCGTTGGTGCAGTTACTAACTCGTAGTTTTCTCTTTCCCTCATCTCCAGCCTGCATATGAACTTGTAGATGACAACGTGGAACGACTAGGTCGGGATAGATAATATAGAAGAAGGAATATCACAAAAATGTAGACTCCAATCATGATGTTTCCGAACCCACTGCTCGTATGTTTCTCTAGAAATTTCCAACTCAAATCATATCTCACCACTATCCCCCTACCCCCAGGCGCGAGTATGCTCACCCACTCCAACATGGTCGATCAAATGTCATGGTAGAGGGCAACACCACGTTTCAGCTCGGTCACAATCTCGGCCGCCTCATCTACGCCGCGGGTCTCAAAGTCGTACCGCTTAAGCTCCGTGGTTTTGTATATGATCAACTGTAGTAAACAAAAACAATGAGTTAGCCCTCAGCCTCCGCGTAATCACGAGAAAATCACTATCAGACTTGCCTGAACATTCGTGGGGTGCTTGCGAAGCACCTTGCACCCGACCACGCTGCGGAAATGAACCGTCGTCGTCTTGCCGCCGCCGTCCCGCAGGGCCTTGCCGCCAGACGCCGGCACGATGTGGATGTACTCGCCGTCGATGACGAGGATCCGCTCGCTCATCCCCACGATCCGCATGGGCTGCTTGCGCCACACCGTGTACTTCTTGTAGGTCGCGGTGCGCAGCTCGTCCTGCTTCGCAATCTCCCGAGCCAGCGGGTGCGGGCCCAGCATCTGGGTCTTCTTGGACTTCTTCTGCCCGTAGACCTCGGCCAGCGCCGCCTTGGGCGAGGTGCTCCCCGGGGATCCCGACATCGTCAAGGGGCCGTCGGTTGCGAAGCGGCGTCTGTGTAGTTCCAGGTCTGATACGTTTCCGATCGAGGAAACGGGGCGGTCAAGCATGACGACCACCCCGGAGCCGGGGAGCTTCAGAACGTGATTTGCCTTCTCCAGTTGCCGTTTTGTGCAGACTGTTTCCAGGACCTGGACGAGATATGTATCTGTTGTGACATCGACCGTCACCATCTGGCCTGGTGCAACGTCCGAGGACATGATGGAGATCCTCAGCAGCTTCCTCGGACCACGTGCAGTGCTGTTCGTCGTAGCAGGTGCTTGTGGCATGTCTGCCAAGGGGGTGTTTGTACGGTAGGTAGTTGTGATGATGGGGTTCTGTCGTGGACGGTATTGCTCCGCCGACAGGTGGTTATTGCTTGAGCTATGCGCCAGAGATCCAGGCTTCTGGACAGGTTCTTCGGGTATGGCGGGTTCGGGAGCCTCCTCCTGTGCCGGACGCTCCTCGGTTTCTTCCTGTGGTGTGAGCTCTTTATTATCATCGTATTCGTCCTTCGAGGCTTCTACCAAGGCGAATTCGTCATAAGCTGTCGAATTAGATCGCCCCCGCCCGCCGCCTCTCTGGTTGGCATTGTTGACTGTGGTGAATGAATTGAGTGCTTTGGTTCGTTCAAACGGTGGAAAGTCATCGTCCACTTCTCCGTCCTCAACCATCCTCAGAGTCCACCAGTTGATATTCAGCTTGTCTGACGGCAGCGGTGGCTCCTTCTTATCCGTATTGTATCGATAAAGACTCAGGCCAATCAAGTCGGCTACAGTCACCGGCCGCTCAGTACCCTGGCCGTCGTGGACGCGGGGCTGGATGAGCAGCTCGAATGGCTTCCCGGGCTTCTTCGAGAAAGCAGGATATATCCGGACTGCAATCGAACCCTGCGTGCCCTGGCCATTGTAGTGAGCGAACTTTTGGAAGGGAACTGATTTATGTTCCTTTGCCTTGAGTGCAGCTGACAACAAACTTCTGGGCTGAGCCATGCTTGGAGGCCGGATAGTGCTCATCGGACGTGGTGGTGGAAGAGCCCCTAGCATGACCTTTACAGGTGGCCGCGATTTCCGAACAGTAGACTGCCGAGTGAGGTTCTTCGGCGGTGTACCAACAACTTGCCGAGTGGGTGAGGCATTGATCGGGACAGGCACTTCGGCCACATCGAGAATCGAGGCCGAGTCAATACTCCCAACATAATTGTCAGACAAATCAGAACCGTCATCCGAGTCATCGTCATCGTCCTCATCTAATGTGGTACCAGCCATCCTGAGGCCCGCTGGAGGTTCCTCCTGGATCTTGTCCTGGAACCTCGCAGCCCTAGCCACAGCCCGTGTAGCTCCTCGGTTCTGTTGCTTCTGGGGGGTGTCAACCTCATTGTCCGAGGATATCTCGCTGCTCGTCACTGTGTCGCGCCTTGCCCTCTCCTTGACAACCTCAAGCGCCGACTGTGACCCCCGACGCCGAGACCGGGGCGATTGGGCCGTCTTCATGTTGCTGGCCTGAGTTGGAGATGACCCTGAGCGATTCCTGACGGGCATCTTGGCGAATTTGATCTGCTGCGCTGCCCGCTGGTCCGTCTCGTCATCACTCTCGTCGCTCAGATCACTGCTGTCCACTTCCTCCTGCTCCCTCCGCCTCCGCCTCCTCGTGGCTGCCATGCTAGGCCCAACAGTGTCTGCGCCGCCGCCCGTGAGCATGCCCCCGTCTTCCTCTCCATCCTCGAGTGTGTATCCCTGGTTCCTCGAGGCCTTGAAGTATTCAGAGGCGATGGCGGTCGGGATCGGAGGCGAATGGGTTCGCTTGATGTGGGAGGAGTTGGGCCGCCATCCGGCAGCTTTGAAGGCGGCTGAGTTGACGAAGCCCTCGTTCACTGTGAGGAGGCGCTCGCCGACTCCGTCTGTGATTTCGTTCAGGTAGCTTGTGCGCAGCTGGTATAAAACAAGCCTGGACTGGTCAGCCAATTGCACCTCTCGGGGTATTGCGCGGCGGGTGCACCTACTCGTCAAGCTGGATAACAGACATGGCTGCGGTGTGGCGCCTGTCCCTAGCTAGCCAGGAGTCCGTATATGTGTGTGCAAATTGAAGCAAGTCAGGTCATGGTGCAGTCAAGAAAGTCATATGGATATGAACTGAGTAAGAAGCTAACGGAGGGCGTCAGACGTGAAAGGCAAAGGCCGTTAGAGTTCACTTGTGATAATTGGCCTGTTTTGGAGTTGGGGAGTGTGGAGAGAGTGGGCGGGCTGTAACTCTGTCTCGCTACAAGGACCTGTTTCACTGTCTCAGGGACCGCATGGGGGCGGCGTACCTGAAGAGCTGCTACAATAGAATGACACCAGGAGGCAGCGATGAAGTCAAACGGAGTCAATAATCAAAAGAACAAAAAACTCTTCGCATTTTCCTTATTATTGAGGCTACTATCAGGATTGAAACAAAGCAACGGGAAGCACGTTGCATGCCAACATTCAAGGGTATCTGCTGTCCCACTGGCCGACGTCACATCACAGCGGCCGGCCACCGGCGTCACAAGCACTAAGGCAAAACTCCACTCAGCACATGGCACCAGCCATCAAGCTCCGAGCTCTTCAACTGCGCTCCCTTTCTTTCCACCCTCCCTCCGTTGCACACACAGCATCGCGCATAGCTCACACAAGAGACAATGGGTCTCGTCGACTACTCCGAGTCCGACTCCTCGGACAACGAAGCCCCCGCGCCGCCCCCCAAGCCCGTCGCGCAAACCCAGCAAAACCGCCCGTCGTCGAAAAAGCCCTTCCAAAAAGTCGTCGACCGCTCCAACCCGGGCAAAATCGTCCTCAACCTGCCCCAGCCCAAGGCGGACGGCGCCGCAAGCACCAGCGATGAACCGCCCGCGAAGCGCGCCCGTACAGGCGGCAAAGGCGGCCTGTTCTCGGGTCTGAACTCGTTCTTGCCACCGCCCAAGAATGCGAACAAGGCCGTTGTGTCTTCGTCCGGCGCCATCTCGAAGCCGAAACCCGGGGTCAATCTGAAGACGAGTGCGGCGCCTGGATTCAGCAGGGAGGGAGAAGACGAAGAAGGGCAATCGGGCAGCGGCAGCGGCGGTGGCGGTGGCCTAAGCCTCCCTCCTCCTAAATCACAAGCTGCCCCGTCGATACCGGAAGAGCAAAAGGCGGCCGAGGATGTCAAGCTAGTTGGCAAGCCTCTCATGTTCAGACCTCTCTCAGTGGCCAGGAACCCAAAGAAGAAGAAAGTGCCCAAGGCTGCGGCGCCTGTGGCCCCATCTGCCACTAAGAGCGTGATATCAGAAGGACAGTCGTATGGGAACGGCCAAGCTGCACCCCAACCAGCACCAGCTCCCAAAAAGGTCTCTTTATTTTCACTCCACACGGAAGAGCCATCAGGTCCGTCTGTCTCGTCTGGTCAGGATGGCACCTACGAGCCCTTATTTAACAGCCAAGATACCGCCACAGGGTCCGTCACGGGCCCGTACAACACCCACGATGCAACCCAACAGCAGCACCTCCCCACAGCAGCCGTCTCAGACCAGTCCGAGTCTCTACAGAACATCGTCGACGACCTCAAGCTCTCCGCCGCAGAGAGGCGGGAGCTCTTCGGCCGCGGCGGCCTGAGCGCCGCGCAGTCCACCAAGAAGGTCCTCAACTTCAACATGGACAAGGAGTACCAGCACAACCGGGAGATTCAGGCCTCCGGGGAGCAGCAGACACACAACCCCCTGCGCTCCATCAACGCCGCGGGCAAGTCCAGCCTCAAGCAGCTTGTGCACAACGCGCAGACCCAGCGGGAGGCGCTGGAGGAGAACTTCGCCAAGGGCAAGTCCAACCGCAAGGAGGCGTCCAGCAGATATGGCTGGTAGATGTCGAGATACCCAGGGAACTACTAACATTAAATTTCTTTTTGCCTCACGATCACCAAGCGCGCATATTTTTTCTTCTTTATTCTTTTTAGTATCACAAATTTATTACCCGAAGCTACAATTTGGCATCTTAATAGCAAGATGAAAGAGAAGGAACAAAAGGCTCGCTATGTTTAAAAAATGGTATATCCAGCAAAGAGGGAGTGTTTCCCGAAACGCCATTCTGCATTTAGTCCGTCCATCATAATACGTTTCCGTCCAATTCGTCTAGCACGTTTCAACGGCAACAGTCCTGCCCACGCGCAGTGAGTTATCCACCATCAAAAACCCCCATTCACCTCTGGTGATGGGTGAGATGTCTTCATATTCGTTTGGTGTGACCGGGCCCAGGTCCGGAGAGCTTCTGTCGGAGCCGGGGGTCAGCATCATC